TTTTAACAAAGGAATGCATACTGTATATGTTCTTCATTATATTTGAAGAAGAGGTGAAAATTGATAATAATGACTCGCGCTTTAATCCTCGGTACATTTTTAAAACCCCCTTACTCAAGCTGATGATGAGCCCCCCTGGGTGATCCCCTTGTGTGAACGCCTCTGAATACGGTCCGGTCGGGTTGATCTACTCTGTAACGGTAGTGCTGCAGAAGAATGTGTTCGGTGAAATCGTTGTTTCCAGGATTCCTCTCTCTTTTTTTTTTTTTTTTTTACGAAAGCTGACCTTTAGATAACCTGAAGAGTAATAATTGATTTTAGGTGAGACACACAGCAAACAACCTCTTGCTTCTGTCGGTTAAGTCCCCTTAACAAGCCATTAATAGGTCAGTCTAACCACATGACGCACTGTTCTGCACAAGCATGAAATGTTTTTGACGATCCACGTGGTACAAAACTAGTAAAAAAAGATGAAGGGAAACGACAACGAAAGTTGAGTTTCTATCGGAGTTTGTGCTTGAAATATCGATTGATTCAACCTCAATTTTTGAGGACCTGTTATGGTTTGGATTACGGTGTTGTTTGGATGTGTACCTCATCTGACAAACATTCAAAACGACTAGCACTGAATGCAGTGAGCAAAACTTTGTTTCCCGTTACTTTTTCAATGTACCTGTACCTATATGTTTTATTATCTCCCTCGATGTTTACTTATTGCATGTTGCGTGATAGGTCACGGACTGACTGTCAGACAAGCCTAAACAATAGTCGTCAGATGCAGGGATGCGTGACAGTAATCAGATACTTGGTGTGTAGTGGACTGTGGATGCGAAACTTTTGAGACTTATATTTTTCCTTTTTTCGCAGTTTTCAAAGGTTTTAAACCTGACATTGACAAAATTCTGAGCATAAGTATTTAATTTATCGTTGTGCAACATGAGTGTATTACCAGACATTGACAAGATCGACGACATCGTGGAGATGGCAACCACAATGGCGTCGCTAAAAATCTCGGCTAAAGGGCTGAAAACGTTGGACGAAATGAAACAAAGAGTGAAAGAGACACTTCGGTTTGAGAAAAAGTCGAGTTGGACTGCAAAGGAGGTGAGAATTTTACAATTTCTTGTTAAATATTAGCTACTGGCAAATTCGATTTCTAAACGACGTTTTCAGTACAATGGCCTATCCAGATGCGACTGCTAATAAATGGTAGGTGCAGAACATATCGAGAAATTCAGTCACAAATTGTTTAAGAGCTTTCTCGCTGATATTATCGCCATGGCTTACTATTAATGTCATCTATTCAGCAATGGCATCTCAGTAATGAGTAGTACCAGAGGAAACCTTATTCTCATGGACGGAAATAGTAGCATTCACCCCCCAAATGTTTCTCCAAGTTCAAACTTAACAACACATACGCGTAGAGCTTACCACAGAGTCGATAGTAACTCTTTGATACTTTCATATACAACAATTACAACTAAGTGTTAGTAAAGTGATTTTGAATAAGAAATTGCAAAGTTGTGCTTCCGCAGTGAGAGGTAATTATGCATACTGATGTTCTTAATTTGGGAAGCTTGGTTAAGCAACGATCGAGCCTCGAAGGCTCGAGTACAGAGATGCGGCTCTTACAACATCGAGGATTGATAAATCTTTGTTAACTTTGCTTCAATGCTGCCTATTCTGGACCAATTCTGTGCTCTGTGGATAAATTAAAGTTCGGTAGTTTAGGAAACATTGGCTGTTTTATTAGGTTTACATTTCTACATTTTCTTAGAAAAGCTTGCATATATAATTTCTCTAAAATAAATGTCAACAAACTTAACGCCCGGAGTAAACAAATGCTTTTCTACGGGAAAAGGAAGCCACAAATTCATTCTGCTATTCGTAATTATCTACAAAGAGTTGGATAAATCGTTCGGAAGGATCTTGGTAACAGCTGCTTTTGCTATGCATCAACCTTGCTTTTGTTGACATAATCATACATGCAGTCACGGTTTGATTCTATTCTTGTCTAAAGATTAATTCATGGTTGTAAGAGTTACAGATAGTTGGGTCTATGAATTGTAAATTCTCGGTTACATTCCTTTTTAGATTTAATAATCTCTAAAGCAGAGTAGCATCAAACCATGTCTAATTGTCCACCTGGTTGTTTTGCGAACTTTGATACATCAAACTACATGCATTTTTACATAAGTATTTAGAGAATTACTTGATGGAAATACTCTCAAGTGAATTAAGGCCTGGGTCCCATGATTATTTCCTTTATATTTCACAAAGTTGTTCATAACTTCCATGAAACTGGACCGATCTCAGTGAAACTTTGCCAAAAGTCGAGACTTAACCTTCTTTATCGATTCGTGACGTCAAGGAACCGGTGTGAAATTTGATACCTCTAAAAACCTGCAGTTTAAGCGCCGAAAATGCTGTGTGCCATTACGAGCAAATTCCCACTATGTATTCCCTCTATAACAGTGAATAAACCGCTCATTCAAATCAG